ACCTACGTGGAATCGCTGTTCCTGGTGGGGCTCGAACCAGGGTTTCCGCGTATGCCGATGACGTATCTACATTCGTGTCGTCCCCCGGGGACATTGAGGTGGTAGTGAAGGCGCTTGAACGGTACAAAAAGGTGACAGGGGCCCAGATTAACCACGACAATAGTTCCAGCTTGTTGTTGGGTGCCTGGAAGGGAGTATCTTCCGAGTCCCTTTAGTTGAATGGACGGTCCTGTCTGCATGAGTGTGGTTTTAACCCGACCTCCAGCTGGAGAAAACTTGGTCAGAAGTACAGTCAAAAGGTCAGCGCGGTGACTGAAAGTAGATGTTCTTGAAGGGTAGAACTGAGGCGTGTGCCAATTACGTCTTGTCATTGATCACTTGGCTGTACATCCTCTCTGAAAAGAAAAAGAAGAAAGCGATCAAGCGATTGCTATTCTCTGTTTTGTGGGGGTACAAAAACATCATGTCGATAGAGAAGTCTGTGCTGAACTTCCGGGTCATTCCTGCCATCTCGCGGGCTAAGAGCACCAAGCATATTCCAACAGATAATGGATACTATACTTGCCAGTTTGGATTGTGCTCAAGCATATTTGGATGAAGTAATTATTACAAGTAAGACCCAAAAGCAACATGCAGAAGATGTAATGAAAATATTTGAGAAAATCAAAGGATATTGTTTTAAGATTAGTGAAGGGAAATATGAATTGTTTATGTCCAGACTTAAATATCTTGAACAAATTATTGATGAAAACGGTAGGCGACCAGATGCTTCAAGAGCGAACGTAATAAAAGACATGACACACACACACGCACACACACACACACACACACACACACACACACACATATATATATATATATATATATATATATATATATATATATATATATATATATATACCAAACATGCACAAATTAATAGTAGTCTTGAATAAACTGCTAAAGGCTTTATAATGAAAATGAGGACGCAATTTAAGATTTAAAGGAAAATATTACGGAAAATAATGCATTTTCATTATTTAATGATGTACTTATGTACGCAGAAAGAATTGTGATACCAGCATCGTGGCAAAAAACGTATGCTAAAAGAATTTCACATTAGGACATCCAAGAATTTCTAGAATTAAATCCTTAATGAAGTGTTATAAATATTGGCCAAAAATGGAATAAGATATCAAACATTAAGTGAAGTTGTCCTCTGGCAGAGAAGTCACCGCCTATCAAAATTCAACCTTGACCAAAAACCCATATGCCATGGTCCAGAATACATATATACTTCACAGGACCGTTAAACGGAGCATACTATCTGGTGGTAGTTGATATTTAAATGGCCAGAAATATTAAAATTAGACCAAATACCACGGGAAAGATAAATTTCCTACACGAGATTTTTGCAACGTTCGACGTTCCTGATTCTATCGTTTCAGACAGTGAGACACAATTTACATCTAGTGAATTTAAGGTTTTTTTGTAAATCATTAACAATAAAACATATTAAAAATCCTCAATATCACCCAAGATCAAAAGGACAAGCGGAGCAGGTTGTAGATACGTTAAAAATGCATTAAAATATTGGAGGAATCAGATGAAGTAATGCTGTAACAATTCCTGAGTGTTTTCAGAATGACACCAAACCTGAACACCGTGTCTGGAATGTTGCCTGAAGAGTTGATGTTCGCCAGGAAGATTAAGTCCTATTTAACAAATTATTACCAGAAGTTAAGGCGAAATCATCAAGAAATAACAATATAAGTAATAAGGTATTTTTAAAAATATATCAACGTGGAAAAGAATTGAGGGAAGATGACTTTATAAAAAAAACGGATCGAAAAATGACATACTAAGTACAGGGATAAAAGTTGGAACATAAACGACATTTTAATCAGTTAAAACGCAGATTCACAGTTATAGAAAGTCCCCAAAAAGAGGTACCTACGGAAATTTTGTATGACACGTTTGACGTACCCACGCCATCAGAAATATTTGAAGCAAGGTTTTATGGCAAGAGAAAAAGAATAGCAACAGAATTTCTAAATATTGAAGCGAAGCTGAAGAAATATAGACTCCAGAAGAATATAACTTGGGTTTGAACACGGATTGCCAGAGAGCAAGCACAGTCCACCCCATCTTGAAATAATTGGATCACATGACGGTTAAAGGAAAAATATATACGGGATTTAGTAACATAGAGATTTCAAGTCGTGCGAGGCTATCATCAGAGTCTAAGTGTATTTTTCGGAACATTGTTTTAAATTTATTTTCACTCTCCGTCCTCCTCTCGTAGACACCTTGTTAATGAGAGTGGGTTTGTATTAGCGATTGGTGGGGGCGTAAGGTATCTTATCACGGGGGAAGCGTTCTGGGGTTGGAGTTTATTTATGGCCACGGTCTTTCGTTGTTTGTAGTTTAATATCAGTTCCTACTGTGTGCTGACCAGGACTTATTCGTTGTGGTTTCATATCAGTTCTTACTATGTGGCGTTTCTTATAAAAAGCCCCGGAGTGTCTTTGTCTGGGATTCACAGTAAATACGTAGTTGTTTTTAGTATAGGTGTCCAATATTATTAATATTAATAAGTGCTGAGGGATTTAAACATAATCCCGTTAAGATTAATGTAAATTAGTTAAAGTTATGAATTTATAGATTGTAAATAATACTAGAGCACCCAATGGAATAAATCATGCTGTTCAACAAATATGCATACATATATTCATACATACATATATTTACATTTACGTGTCTATACATATATGCCACTATACACCACCACATATATGCACATGTATTCTTATATAATTTGGAATTTATTTCTATGCCTACATTTCGTGATTATTTCTCTACGTTGATTTAATAGTTTTTATTGATCTTTATATTTTATTATCCTGATTTTTTCCTCTAAACATAGCTTGCACATATTCCTAAAACTATTGTGGGGGGGTGTTCACGAAACTGAATTTTCCAATTTATTTGAGAGTTTTCTTTCAATTCCAGAAATTTTTTCGAAAGGGCTGTTTGGTGTTTTAATTTTGGATTGGTGAATAAATGTCTGTGTATTAATTTCTGCCAAGAAAACAAAACATTTTAATGTTTATTTTGTGCGGGGAACAGATATAATGCAACATAGATTTAGGATTCTTCAAATCCTAATATCTGCCCGAAATTTTACAATCTGACCATACATTTTTGGTTTTGTTGCACCCTATAGGGCATTATTGAAAATTAGATGGAAAAAGAATATTGTGCGTATTTACGATATATGTAAAGTAGTATTTCGAAACGTCGAAACATTAACTGAAAAAATCCTAAAGAAAAAATATATTTCGTTAATCTTCAATCAAAACTGTAAACTGTAAACATATAAATATATTTTTTTATCACTTTAAACGCTATTTTTGCCGATACCTATATTTTGCAGTAGACACTCGGCTTTTTTGTAAAAATGATATTATTCTCATCTCCAGGACTGATAACTCGAGAACACTTATTGAAGGAAAAAAATGTGTTCTCCACTAGGATTTGAACTTGCGTCCAAATTTACAGGAGAAACCATCGTTAGAAACAATCGTTAGATAAATTTACAGAAAAAAAACATCGTTAGATACTATCTGCTTTTTACAGACCGATCAAAATCTTGCATTGTAAGCAGATGTATATTAACTACAAACAGGATGAGAAAATCTTGAAAAACCCCATCAAAAATCATATTTTACACAAAATGCAATACAACCAATTTAATTCTAAAAGTTATTATTACTGTTACAGAGCATTTCTTGCTTTATTTAATTATAATACACGGAAAAATATTTGTGAGTATGAAAGAATGATGATCAAAATAAGCAACCATAATGTTTGTAATGTATTCAATACCTAAAACCTATTTTGCTGTCTGAATACATATATATATATATATATATATATATATATATATATATATATATATATATATATATATATATATATATATATATATATAATATTTAATGAAAGAAAACAGACCACTTTAAGGTACCATTACAATAATTTATTTCACCAAAATCCTTTACAATATTATGAAAGTACAATTGGTCGGGTAAATAAACTATTATAATTTTAAATATTTCTTTAATATGTTCTCGATAAATGTGTTAATAAAAATAGTAGTTAACTTATATTAAGTCCCTAAACTATTTACTTAAAACTAAATGTTTAAATTGATAACATTCATCATTTTTTAGACATCTAAAATTCTATCAAGCATTGAAATCTATATTTTACATAATTTTGTTAAAACAAAATTACAGCCTTTTCGATTCACTTCCCTCTCCCCCTCTCTCTTTGCCGTAAAACTCATTTAGATATATCTGTATTACTTGTCTGTCTCCTCTCTCCTTTCCATTTTTCCTTTTCTTTTCCCCCCACTACCTTCCCATTCCTATATATAATTTCCGTTAAGTTAACCATCTAAATAGGTCACGATTAGGTCACTCCTCCTACCCCAATATAAAACATGCTTAAGAGAAATATGAAATTTCCCCCTCTCTATACTATACCTTGTCTCGTTGACTACAACGATCATCCTCCCTGTTAAATTACAAAAAATTACACTACCCATCAATTTCTAATCGCATTTTTCCTTTCATTTCTTTGTTGGAAGTGTTACCTGATGATCCGGAGTCCTTTAAAAAGGATTTTGGTGAAATAAATTATTGTAATGGTACCTTAAAGTGGTCTGTTTCTTTCATTAAATATTAGCTCTGGATTCGCATTGAGCTCTCAGGGTTTCATCCTCCTTGGAATTACCCATTCGGTTTACCAAGTTCTTCGTAACTTAATTAATTTATATATATATATATATATATATATATATATATATATATATATATAGATAGATAGATAGATAGAGCAATGAATCTCTCTCTCTCTTTCTCACTCTCTCTCTCTTACGTGCTAATACCTCCAGAAAACATCACAAAATATTCAGTACATGTTTGTTTGAAAATATGTCTTCAGAATCATGTGCAATGTGCGGGAACATCCCAACGGATCCCTATCTATCTATCTATCTATCTATCTATCTATCGTGAGGTGGATAAATCAAATAACTAGATAGCAACCGTGTATACTCGCGTTATCATGCATACAAAGGTAAGCAAATAAATATTTACTCAATTTACTATAAGATGAAAATAAAACAGCGCTCAATATGGTTAAACGGAGCTAAGAAATATACATTAATAAACCTACATTTAAAGTGCGACTTAAGTTTCGTTGTTCTACCAGCTCATCAGGCACGAATTATTACATATGATTTCGAGGCCCCTTCAAGTATATACATTTTTTGTAAAATCTTGAAATTCTTTGAAATTAACCTTTTGTTAAATATAATTTCTATGACTACTTAAATGCATCCTAAAGTTACATTCAAAACCGGGTATCAGCTAATGGTGACGCATTTTAAAAATGTCAATTCATCTAGACATGAATGAATAACATGTACTTCCAACCTGTATTTCTCACTTGTTTCAATTAACCCTGATCCGTCTTTTGATTGGTTAACCTAGACATACCCTCCAAAAATTTTGAAGTATTGTTCATCTCTCCTTTTTATCTCTTAGATAAGCTAACGGATTGTCTTCTGTTTTCAAAAATAAGTCATTATCATTATAAGTTACTTAACACCGCCTGAGCAGATATGAGCAGAAAATTCTTGCGCGTGTTAGGATGCCCGATATAGCTTTTAAGAAAAATGAAATATATTATATTTACTCATTGAATTTCATATCTACATATGTGTTCTGTTATCTTCTGCTATCGCTCAAACAATTTTATCATTGTTTGCCACCGGTAAAGATTATCTTTTCTTGCAAGTAACTTTTTGCCATTTTTTTAATTTTTCTAATCTCCGCTCCACTCCCAAAATTTTTTTTTACTGTTTTGTGAAAATAATTCTGTAAAGAATTGAATAAGTGTTTATCTGGAAAATATCGTGGGGAATTGAATATTTTTATCCAATTTGGGACAACATCAGAAATATATAACGGTCTAATATTATACTGATGAAACATACGAACTTTGTGAATTAATTCTGGATGCTTTCTAGCATTAGAACATCACCCATGACTTCTTGAGTTATTCTGGTAGCAACTTCTATTCGAACATTTCTTCCATACATGACATACACAATACATCCACTTGTAACACTTAAATAAGGAAGATAAACTGCATATTCGTGACATTATTCTGTAAGATGATGATAGAAGTAGATTTTTATCAACTTTCAGAATGTATTTTAAAGATACGGTTTTGTTATCGAATGTAAAGGATTAATGACAAATATACCGTCTAATTTATATTCCCGTATTTTATATGAAAGTCCAACATCAAACAAGGAACAACGTCGAAGTAGAATAAATGATTTTGAGTATGATGATAAAATCCCGAGACTTATAATGTTGATTATTCTTAAGTATTTGCTTAACATCTCTGATAACATCTTAAATCCTTTCAACCGAGCGCGGAGAATGAAGAAGGATTAAGTAAACATTAGAGGAATTAATAAAATCAGGACAGTCAGAATTTAAAACCATGAAGCTTAATTATCAAACGATGTGCTTTCTTTTAAGTTTTATCAACCATATTGTTTGTCATACTGGTCTAAAACCAGGACTCTTCAAAAACAAAAAGAGCCAATATCAACTACTTTTGAGTCCCTAGAAGTAAAAATAATATCCTAAATTGTTTATTGGCTCGAGATTTCGATATACTGTAGTTATATGAATATTCCATAAAAATCGTTATCTTTGCCAGATTAATTATTCTCTTCATAATCATATTATATATTATTATTCTCCTAATAAACTAATTATTATTCTCCTTTTCACTCATATTTTCACACAAGCCAATAAATTCTGCTCTGGGTTTAGCGAAGTGCATTTTACATTTCAAGAGCGAAATATAACACCTGTTGTGAAAAAGTTTCATCCAGTATATTTCAGATTTGCAAATCAAGATAAAAAGTGGGCATCACATTGCTGTAATAACTGTGGAACACATCTGTGGCTTTTGCCGTGCCCATGTTTTGGAGAGAGGTAATCGATTATGCCTCTGAAGTGTATTATGCCTCTCAGTACTGCTATGTTCCAGATTGCATCAACAGAAACTATTAGTTGGTGATGTGTGGATTTCCCATTTCCGTGATCGTCACAAGGATCTAGACCCATTCTTTCTTAAAAAAGTAATATAATGTACTGAAATGATAACAACGATTTCATGTAATCATTTAACATCAGTTACAATTCAGAGTTCATTGATTCCTCGAAGACAAATCTCAAAAGCTGTCTTGTTACACAATGGTAATTTTTTTACCTTCAATCAGTTGGTCATGCAGTCCAGATAAAATAATCTTATGACAATATGAAACAACTAATGTCATATATCGCCTCTGATCAACATAATTGGTAATTTTATGGAGATTTGAATGCTCTTCCTGTCTGCGAGGATTGCAAGTTAGATAAAATAAGGTAATGTTATTTTATTTGTGAATAGGGGAGCCTACACATAACATCTCATTACATCAAAAGAAGTTGACCACTACGACAATCACTGAAACCTGGGAGGGAAAATATTCAGCATCCACTATTTGTTGAGTCAAAAATTGTTGTTGTCACCTCAACCTTGGTCTTCTGAAAGATTTCATGAAAGCTCTGGACAAAACAAAGGCAGCATTCAAATATATGCAGAATAAAATATCTCAGGAAAAGTGAAGCAAAGATAAAAGAAGGTATCTTTTGTTGGTCCTCAGATTCGTAAAAGAAGAAAATATTAATCGTTCCAAAATTAAGTTAGAAGCAGGAAATGATAAAAACTTTTATGTGAAAAAGGAACGAAATAGACTGAGAAGGTAAGCCTGAAACCATCTTTTAATAAACAGCAATGTAAATATCAGTGTAAAAATGGTTAAGATGCAAAATTAATTAAGCAAATGTACGTAATATAAAACATGATCTGTAGATAAGGCAAACATAAAGATATTTACGTTTGGCATTTACAGTGTGAGGTGCAAGTATCAACATAATAAATTGCAGAGAACAAATCGTTGGGTAGCATCAAGATTAGACTTAGATTTCTTTAGATTACATACCTAATATTTTCTTTAGATTACATACCTAATATTTTATTTAGATTACATACCTAATATTTTATTTAGATTACAGACCTAATATTTTCTTTAGATTAGAGACCTAATATTTTGTTGAGGCGTAATGGATATCAGCTGCGACTGAGAAATCGAAGAGCCGAGTTCGAATTCCAGTCACGATCGCTGCATTCACTGGGCGTGCAAATAACCTTGGCTAAATTATGAATCCCTCTCTTCTCCCTCCTGTTATGGGTTAAGTAGCAAGACGGACTGGGTTATAAACCTTGGTTGGCAACCAGTCTAGCGCAGAAAGTAATGACTGTGGGAAAATTTTCTGCCTAATCAGTTATGAATCGAATGAGACATAATCGCCCAGTCGTGTATCACGTGGTGGCACTAAATTAACTCAGCACATCGTTTCAACTTGTTTACTCGAGAACATTGCTTAGTTAAATCTTAAATTCTGAAACCTTTGGATTAAAAATCAAGATTTAAATTTCAACAAGTTGACTTTTCTTATCTTTTCAACTTCAGTGGATCACTGATTTCTCTCAGTTTTAAAAATACGATCCTACTTTATCGAATTTAATATAATTATTCATTTCTTGCTTACATAATGACGACCCTGTCAGAATAAAATGATTACATTTTTACCAAAGAAAACCCATCATAAAGATATAGATAGACATTTATAAAACAAAAAGAAATGAAAGAGATAGATGTTTGTTGGTAGGAAACGATCATTGGAATTCATAAAAAGAAGGAAGAGAAAATCACACTTAATAAATTTTGAATAAGTTTGCTAGAAAGAGACAGAAAGAAAAGAAAAGACGAATTTTTGTTAAAGAAGAAAGTAAATAAGAAAACTTTTATCATCGCCAACTTTCTTATTATCAAAAGCTGTCTTAGGTGAGCATGCGCAGAACTGTTAAGCAGCACGTCATTGATGTCACACGAGGATATATATTTGCCGGTCTCTTTCGCTTTGTGTCGCTATCAAGCAAAGGCAATTTCAGGGAAAAAATCACTTCTTAATGAGATGAGATTCTTCTTTCTTGAAACCTGATGACTAATTAACAAAAGTCTGATTTTAACGAGGCAAACGACAACAAAGTGTCTTGGATTAAGAGAGAAAAAAGTGGATGAAAAGACCTTACTTAATTTAGTTCTTCAAAGTAACTTCTGAGAAATTGTTTTATAAGTTTTGCTACAGATTAATATACAACGGTTCTTTCATATTCGTATCCTTGGTTTTGATGTTGGATATTTCCAGACATCATCGGGTGTGTGTCGCATTTTGGTAAACTTCACCGGTTTGGGCATGAAATCCTTTATTTTGTTAAGTAATAAGACTCAATTATTTCTATCTCTTTCATAAAATTTCTGATACCGCCAATCGAGACGACCACTGCTACTCCCTTTCTCGATTCTAGGAATTTGAAATACTTTTTTCTGTTAATGGAACTCGTGTCTTTCAAAGTGCAAAACAAATGCCTATGATTCTATATGGACTTTTTAAGCGTGGCTTAAATGTGGCAGAAGGTCGAAACTATGAGGCACACAGTGAGGATCGAACTCGCTATTCTGTTGTAACCGTTCTCGCGAGACAAGCTTGTTAACCATTAAAACGCGTCACAGTGTCCAACTCCTTCTTCGATGTTCCATTTCTCTTTAGGAAATGGTTCTCCACAATTTCCTGTCATTGGTAGACCTTAGTAAAGTTTGTCTTTTCATTACCCCTCTCATAAATTTTGATTATTCGTTAAATCTTATTTGGGCTGAACAGTTGTATTTGTAAAAATAATTTTAAAATTTCCATAAACAGAACAGTATTGTATGTTGATATTTAAGCGTAGCTTTGATGTGGCACAAGGCCGAAATTATGGCGCACCCAGTGAGGATCAACCACACTACTGAGTCGTAATTGTTCTAGCGAGATAAGT